CTTGGCCATGGTCGAAACCCGGAGACTCTGAGGTTTAGGGTTTAGGGTTTAGGGGTAGGGTTTAGGGTCTAAGGGGACTTAGGGTTTTGAACTGAGCCCAAACTTAAGGGACCCAACGGCTGTCGACTTTCCCCCAGGTGCACACGCCCGAGCTCCTTTTTCAACTCGAGAGAGCAAGCATGGTAAACCCTAAAGGCCCTAAACCCTCAACTCGAGGCTTTGGGGCCGGGTTGGTAGTTAGGACTTCGGGCCTAGGGTTTAGGGCATATAGGGTTTAGGGCAGGTCAGGGGCCCCAATCCCTGAGCAATGAAGCCTCACTTTGACTTTGGCCGGAGCTGATGGCGCTGCAGCGTGCCCGACTCCTGGGGATCGCAGCGCACCGAGTCGCAAGGGTGCGTTGGGGTGTTCAGGACCCGAAACCCTAAACTATCCTAAACTAACTTCCAAACCCTAAAACCCTAAAACCCTAAAACCCCAAAACCCCAAAACCTCAAACCCCCAAAACCCCAAAACCCCAAAAGCCCAAAAGCCCAAAACCCCCAAACCCCAAAACCCCGAAACCGCACAACCCCAAAACCCCAAACTCGGTTGAGTGGGCATAAGGTTTGCTGGACCTTTGATGCATCTTGCAAATGGCGCTGCGCCCTGGTATGATCCCATTCGCTGGCGACAGCTCAGGCCCATAAGCCCTAAACAACTCCCTTAAACCCTAAAGCCTCCAAGCCCTAATCTCCAAACAACGCTAAACCCAAAACCTTTTAAACCAAAACCTAAAACCCTAAACTCCTAAACCATAAACCCTAAAGCTCTACACCCCAACCAACCCTAAACGTTTAAGCCCTAGACCCGAAACCCCGACAGTCCAGCCTCAGGCTTGTTCTTGATGATCACATCGGGGCCGTAAAATCCCGAGCCGAGTCGACAGAGCCTCGTTGGCTCCATCCCAGAGATCCTCAAAGAGCCTCAAAGAACCCTCGGATGGCCCTTAAAAAACCCCTTTGAACAATATTCCTGAATACGATCCTCTTAAACCTAAGAAAGGAAAACATGAACTATCCCAAGGGCCTCCCCAGAAGCTCTAGCCTAGAGGGCTTGAGGACTTGAGGGTTGCGAAACTTAGGGTGTTTGGGGGCTCAAAGCTGCAGCTCAGTTCGCCACGCAACCACACGCATGACCCACATGCACCCAGAAACCTGAAGACCCTGGTACAACGTGCAAGGGGGGTTTGGGGCTCACCGCACCGAAGCCGTGGAGCGTGTAGGTGACAGTGTTCGGCGCCAGGAATGTGGCAGGATCCGTCACGGACGCGCAGCCGAGCTGGGCGAAGTCCTCCCAAGGCTCTCATCGGCTGGAGTTCGGGCCCCTCAGCCCCTTAAAGCCCCGACCCACAACGCCCTGCAACATCCGAATTCTGCCTTAAACAGCAAACCCTACACTCTGCACCCTAAACCCTTCTGCCAGAAACGCCTCAGAGCTGCAAACAGACAAATTTCAGAGACCTCTCTGAAGCCCTGCCAAAGTTCAGGCTTTTGCTTGTAGGGCTGTTGGCATAGGATCCAGCAGGGCTTAGGGCTTAAGGGTGTTTAGGGAACAGGATGCGTGAAGGTACTGAAAAAGAATCGTGCCGTGTTTTGTAGAAGCTAGAGGGATTTAGGGCGCCCCCAGGTGCCCTTGTACATCTACACCGGGCCGAGATGCGCCAAGTACAGCTCCGACCTTCCTCGGACCGGGTGTTGATTTTGGGTTGGGCTGGGGGTTTCTGGGGTGCCTGTTCACTTTGGTTGCCAAGACCTGAATGCATGTTCTGCCTGAGGTTAAGGGTCCATGGGGCTCTGGGATTGACGACTAAGTCTCCTTGGGTTTAGGGCTGGGCTTACGCCCCTTCATGGCCAAACGCATCCAGCAAGTCCTGGCGCTGCCCCAATATACTCCAACTTGCCTACAGGCTTCCGCAGCAAGTTCAGGGCTTAGGGGTGCGGATCGATGGAGCCTTGGTGCCTGCTTTCTGGGGATTCGCGCCTCAGGTCCCCCCCCCCCCCCACCCCCTCCATGTCGAGGTGCCGTCGCCCCAGGCGGACTCGAACTGCGCGTGCACCAGGCGCATCCTTGCAGATGGCTGCACATGGATTGTGGGGTGAGCTTGAGCCCCACGGAAAGTCCAGGGACGAGTTGAAGCTGAAGGCGATAATTTGGGAAGCGGCTCTCTAGCCCCGACCTCGGCAGGCAGCTGCACACAGAGCTGGTTGCCAAAGAGACCGAGGTTGGCGGTCAGTGCCTTGCGAGTGGTCGTGGGGTGCTCAGCTGTTTGGGGCTTCTGGGGTTTATAGGGTTTTTTAGGGTTTACTGGGTTTATGGGGCTTAGGGTTCCCAAACCTGAATTAGAGAACGCGGGCCTGGCAGCCAAAGTGGCCTTTGAAGCCGATGAGCGAGTCGCCGGCGTAGCCTTCAATTCCGGCGTCCCCGTTCAAGGCTCCCAGGAGCTTTGAGGGCCGCTTGGGTCTCAGCGCTTCTCAGGCTTCAGAGTTTTGTGCTTCTATGGCATGGCTGGACAGGGGGTCTATCTTTCGGGCTTTAGGGGTTGAAGTTGTGGCAAAAAGACGCCACAAGCCGGATGCCTCGCCCCTGCAGCTATACATCCGCGGCCCGAAGGCCGAAAGACAACCCTGCACCCTCAGTGCCATCTAAGCCATATAAGCCCTACACCCGACTACCCTCTACGCCCCTGGAATCGCAGACGATGTGGCTAAATCTTCAGGGTAACACTGTTTGACTGAAGTTCGACTGACAGGACACACAACCTGCTTAACAAGCCTTGTAACTTCTTGGTTCTTGATTCCTGATAGGGACTCAAGGCACCCAACTATGGCTTGTGTGGGGGGATGCTTGTGCATGCCCCTCCGGTTCCCTCATTCTCCATACGACGAGCTGGTAAGTGCCTGGGTGGGCGAGCTCGGCCTTGTCCATGACCAAGCTGTTCTTCAGCTCGCCGCGAAGGACCTGGCGAGCTCTTGGGCCCAGAGCTCCCCGCCAGAATCCTTACTTGCTGAGTTTTTTCCAGGGGGAAGCAGCTTAACCATTGGGCTTTTTCCTAACCCTAAACTCTAAACCCTAAACCCACAGGGTCCTAAAGATCCGAGATGCTTAGAGGTGGTTACAGAGTGAGCATCCCAGGATTCAACGGTGAAGCCTTGTACCCCCTAGATCGCTGAGCTTTTCGGCTTCTCAGTTCTGCTTTACCTGCCCCAGACTCTATACCGCTAAGCCCTTGCCCCAGAAGGAGTTTAGGCTTTGAGGCTTCACTCATAGATTTTGTTTATTTTTTGGTCTTCCTTTTTTGGGCGGGCGGGGGGGGGGGGGCTTGGGCAGCCGGAGAGTCTTGAATCCTAAACCCCTCATCATCTCCAAAACCCAATTAGCCCTAAAACTCGCAGCCCTTCTTGTGCGAGCTGGGAGTCCCTGCGGCGCCCTCGCCCACCAGCACATCGCCCCGGATGTAGGCTCCGCTGCGCACCACCTGGGATTGGGGGGGCAAAGGCTTCGGACGCATTGGAGGGCCGAGTTTGGGGCTTCAGGCTGAGAGGTTTGGGGGTGTTAGGGGGCCTTAGGGTTTAGGATTTGGGTCTGTGGTTCAGGGTGAAGAGAGTTGCTCAGGGTTTGAGTATGGTTCAGGTGCAATGAGCGTTGTTGTTGTTTTTTTTTTTTTTGGGGGGGGGGGGGGGGGGGGGGTTGGTTTCTAGGGGACTTTATGTCTGAGTGTTGGGTGCTTGATGCTGTGGCGTTGAAGGCCATGTAGAGTTGCAGCATGGTGCTTCAGGGTTGGGGTTCGGTGCTTCAGAACCATGAAACGCCATATCAAGCACCTTCCATCCGACAAAGAATCCGAAACCCTACGCCCTGAAGCCTCATTGCCATCCAGAGGCAGTTCCTGCACCGATCATCGCAGGCCCTGCCACGAAAGCCCCTGGCCTCTGCTGAAGAAACGGGAGCTGGCATGCAGAACTAGATCTAGAGATGGATACAGGTATAGACGTGCAGGTCTCCAAAAGATCGTCCCGTTTCTTGGGCACCCAAGGCCGTATCAGCACAGGACCCAAACAAGCGGACACATATATACAAAGCTGGACTAATAAAGAGATGCAAATAATCCTGAAGCCTAACATTAATCCTTAAACCCGAAACTGCTAAACTCCGAAACGGTCCTGAACTCAGGCCCTACACTCTAAATTTGAGTCGTATACGGCTTGATATTTTGGAGCGTGTTTTTGTTTTTGTCAAGGTAGGTCAAGGTTGTAGATTGCTTATGCAACTTTTCGTTGTTTCTCAACTTACAACCTTAAAAGCCCGCCCCAGGAACTTCGATCATCCCCCCCCCCCCCACCCCCTTCAAGGCCTACATCCTCAGCTGGAAGCAGAAACCCCGTGCCTTGGACGCAAGCCCAAACCTTGAAACCCTACACCGTGACACTCTGAAGCTTCAACTTGCAACCTAAACCTCACATCCCAAAGCCTGAAACCTAAGCCATGAACCTTAAACCTTAAACCCTCAAGCCTCAAAGCCCTGAAGCCATGCACCCCCCCAAGGGCACTCAGGGCCGAGCTCCACCACCGCGCCAGCGCCCAGGGCCACGGAGCCCTTGCGCAGGTCGAGGACGCCGCCGAGGATCTGGGCGCCCTGGTGTGTGGCACTGTGTGGGTGTGCGAGTGTCTCTTGGAGTCTTTTTGGGGTTGGGGGTTTTGGGGGCTTGGGGGCTTGGGGGTTTGATGCTTTGGGGTTTGAGCTTGGGGCTTGGGGGTTTGGGGTTTCGGGGCTTGGGGGCGGGGGGGCGGAGATGGCGTGAGGGTTTTTGGGAATTGTCGGTGATTCAGCTTGTGGACTTTCGAGCGTTCAGGGCCTTTTGGGGCGTTGGAGCTGCGTGATCCTTAACACCACTCTCGAAACAAGAAGCCTAAGATTGCTTAGGTGCAGTTCGTTGAATAAGGGGCTCCTCGAAGATCCTGA